ATGTGCAACGCTGGCCGAAGGACTGCAGGGTCAGAGCTCGAAGGATGGAGAGGTCTCCTCCCTTCTTTGCCAAGAACTAGTGAATGAGGTTTATCTCATCCACCAGTTGCCAGACATGTGTGGGCTCTGGATGTTAAAAAGATGCAGGGTTTTGGCTACATGCTGGCTGTACGCAATGCTAAAATGAATTCCTGTGAGTTTAGTTATATTTCTCTTGTTGTTTAGTTTAAAACATTCTGATACGCTGATCCTTTATTAGTCTGGTAGGCGTAGTCTTCAGTGATTTGGGCTGGGTGCAATTTCAGACATGAGTACCTAAGCAGAAATTACCTGTTTTTCAAAGTGTTGAGCCCACCATCCCCATTGATCACTAGGGGTTTTAATACAAACGCAGGAAGGACTTTTACTGAGAAAGCTGAGTGTACAGCCTAGATACAGGTGTCCTGGGTGGGAGTTTCCAAAGCATTCAATTCATTAACATAAGTCTACTTCCACTGAAAATGATAGTTTTAGCAACAGCTTTGAATGGACAGAGTTGGGTTATTCCAGAAAAATTCTGAAAATCCTACCTTCCTATTTTAAAAAGCCTTTTTGAGTGACAGTGCTCTGTCACTGCTGGAGCACTGACCGTTCGAATGAACACAGATGGACATTTTGTCCCTATTCGATATGAGTCTTCCCAGGAAAGTCGTGGGCTTCTTGCCTTCTCTCCTTTTAACCGTTTCCAGTTTGGTGCAAGTTTATGGGGTTAATCTGTAGGCAATTACTGCAATTTCAGAGTAATCATTCTTTCATTAGGGCAGAGGTGGTAAAAAGGTACAACAGCAAGTAAAAATCCATTAATAGTTAAGTTAGATCTCTTAATCTAAATCGTAATTGCAACTACAATGGTATTATCTATATGACATTCATTCCATGATATTAGCTGCATGACTGTGGATCATCTCTATAATGCTTTGGTTATCTCTCTCTCTCTCTCTCTCAAACACACACATCTATATGATTTTAAAACTGGTAGGGTTTTTTAATATTTATGTAAACCTGAGTGAAACTATGTATGTATGTGCATATGCATATGTAATTGAGACAAAATACAATATGGTTATTGAAAGCTGAGCTAAACAAAATTCTTGTTAAATCAGGCACCTAGACTATAAATAAATGAAATAACGTAGGCATTAATAGCTCCAAATTAATGATTTGAGAAAACTGTAGAGTACCAGGCTCAAAAATCAGCGTAATCTCTTCATAAAGGCTAAAACTTATTACCTTTATGAAGAATCAAGTTCACTGTTGTGTGCTCTGAACAGAAACAATTCTTTTTTCACACAGCAGATGAACTCCAGAAATGTTCACTGTCTAAGTGTCTATCAACTGATGTTGACTGAAAGCTATCTAGATGTACATAGGAAAGCTTTATTCTTCTTTTATTTGCTAGGGTCCAGAAAATTTTCTCTAGAGATAAAAGAAAGTTTACTAGTAAAATGCCAAATCTGTCTTATAAAGAATTGATTCTAACTGTGCACTGAAGTACGTAATGCAGGGGAATTTTTCTTTTGATTCTAGTCCAGACATTTCAAGGGCCTTTTTATGTCTGCCTTCTAAAAATGAAGGTTTGCAGGGAGAAGAGGCACAGAGCAAGAGCTATCATTTAAGTTTACATGCCTGGCTCTCATCTTTGCCATGAGTGATCTTTTGTAAACATACTTAAGATCACAAGATGTTTCATCTTTGGGCAAGGCAAGAAGGATGTCATGTCACTGCAGCACCTGAAGAAAACTTTAAAAAATCTGCAGACAGTTAGAAAAGCCCTTAATGTGCCGTATGTTAGTGGAGCTGCGGTAAATCTGTGGCTGCCACAGATTCATTTTGCACTTTATATTAAATATGTCAATGATGATAAAGGATTGGTCTCCCACAAAAGTAAAGGTGAAACAAATAAGGTTTGTTCAGTGATTCACAATATCTCATTACTCTATAGTTGTAGATGTGAATTACATATTAAACACAAGCAGTGTCTTTTAAAATTCATGGTTTGCATACTTTGAAAACACAATGAAGTCAAAGGGAATCGGTGACATAGTTTGACCTGCATGTTGATGTGATTAGTAATAAACCAGCCACATAAAACTATTGTTAATTATATTGGCCAAGGAATGCAATTAAAATCGATTTTTGTTTGTTTAAACACATACCCTGGGCAGAGGTATGAACAAGAAAATCCCTGTTAAGTTATTCTATGGCACTATGTTGAGAGCAATGGCAGCACATTCAGGAATTTCGGGCTTTCTTGTGAAGTCCTGTGCAAATTGTTTTACTGCAAGGTAGGAGCTTTCTGATGTTAATGTTAGTTGAAGTAGTACTGTCAAATAGCTGTACAGAGTGTCCAGACCCAGAGGCTCCAAGACAACATCACAGTTTAACACTAGAAGATACCGTGCCATTCATTTTGTCATAACAGCTTTCCCTAGTTACAGAGCATTAAGCAGATAATGGGACAACTGTACAAAAGAACCCACACATATCTACCATTTCTCTGACTTTTTGTGCACAAAAATTACCTTAACCCTTTGAAGTCAGTGGGAAGATTTTTTTTACTTTTTTCTTTTTTCCCACCATGGAATTTAATGAGATCAGAATAATTGTGAGACAACTATTTCACTTTGGTTTTTGACTGCATAATCACGACCCACCAATATTACTAAATTCCAGGATGGATTCATATGTCTACCTATGTCAGTGGCACAAATCCTACTAGCTCTCAAGTTTCACCTTGACAATATTAGGACATAATTGTCATTTGCTCATTGGTCCAATTTAGGCATAGCATC